CTGCTACTGCTACCACTACTACTCCTTGTTTGTACAGCTAGCACTCTTACCACAAATTTTTCTACGTGTACTACTGTACTGCTAGTACTGCCTGTACTACTGGCGCCTTCGGCAGCACAGCCGCTACAAGTGCTACCAGTACTTTTAGTACTTGCAGTACTAGTAACAATAGCCGTGGCAGTTGAAGTTGAATCTTCAGTTGTAGTTTGAGTTATTTTTGGTTTCTACGGAATTGTTGCTGTTGGTGGTGGTGTTGACTGTTGTTGTTCTTCGGTGGACATGATGAGTTTGATGATTCAGGATAATGTTAAACGCTTGGCGTCGTCCGCCTGGGCCCGGCTGCAACTGAAGAAGGACAGTGACAGCGGAAACAAAAGAAACTGATTTGCCTGCATAGCCAGTGATGCAAAGCCACGCTTGAAGAATTAACGCCTATTCCGTCCTAAAGCGTCTCAAGCGGATGGGGTGGGAGCGGGTTTGCGGGGGAGAAGGGAGGAGGGGAGGAGGTATACTCCCGGCAAGCCCAGTATCCACCAGCACGATGCGAGTTTGTTGATGCGATTCTTGGAGGGCGATGCTTCGCAGGATGTCTTTGGATACATGCATATTTCAACAACCTCCCATTTGCAGCCAACCAGGTTTTGCGTCATTGCAGTGGTAGCCGCAGGAATTGTCGTCTGAGTTTATAATCAGGCGACACGCGCTACAAAGCAATAATCGCACAAGCAGGTCGTCGTAGCAAGTTGGAAAGGATGCCACGCTCAGATTTGATTTAACTTGCCTTGCTGGACGATTGCCGGAATGCTTTGGACAACAGCTAAGCAAATTCCAAGGGCCAGCAGTCCTCTTGCAGCACAACCTCGTTATGAATAAAGTGTTGCAGGCTGTGCATCGTGGACAAGCCGGCGACACCCATGCAACATGTAAAACGGGTTTTGTTTACTGTAGTGCCGGTGCTGACCGTTCACATCAACAGGAGGCCATTTAGCGTCCAGGAATCCGAAAAAATCCATTGAGGAAAGCCTCAACGGCTCGTACCCACACAAACAGGCCCCGAAGTGAGGTTCCTAGACACCCAGAAATATGCTTTTCCAATCCATCAACTTTAGGTTAGGGGCTTCCTCTAGCAGTAACTCTTTCTAGGATTATTAGAAGCAGCCCCTAAACTTTAGGTGCATGATTTGGGTGACGGTCACAATGACGCCGCCTGGAGGGCTAGCAATCGTCGAGGCCTTGCAGGGCAGAAGCTCTTCCCAGGATTTCGGTTAGTGTTATCGTATGCTTCAGGGTTTAGGGTTTATAGGGCTGATACTTTCAATACTTTCAGGACCGGAAATGCGTGGGAAGTTGTTGAGATTGTCATGAGTCATGACTCTGGTGGCAACCTGTTGACATCGCAGGGCCCTTAAGACGAATCAGCGTACTACGGCCTGACAGGGCATTGCCAGCCCTCACCTGTTTAGTAGCATGGCTGTTTGCGAAACTGCAAGTCGCACAGACGTTTGGGTTATTCAGTCAAGAACTTGTGCAGCTACATGAGTGCCCCCCATTTCTGGGTTCGTCCGCAGTTTTTGTGCTCGCCTTCGCGAAGGCAGGCATCGAACGGCATGCAGGCTAGATCTGGACATGCAGTGCTGGCAAGTGTTCTCCTCTAGTCTAACTGAAACCATAATAAACCCTAAACCCTGGGAAAAAAACATTACAGTGCAGCCCGCAGCATTGGACCAGCACGGCCGGCAATGGAGCTCTCCCTCGATCCGAATGATTTAAACCAAGGGGCTTGGATGTACCTTGGCATCGTAAGCAGGGAAGGATTGAAGGCTTCAAGGCTGCCTTGAAAGGGTGTCGGCCCGAAGCCTTGAAGCGGATGTAGATCCTGACAAGGTGTGCCGTGGTGGTGCTCGAAGTTCTGTTGGTCGGCAAGAGTCTATGGCTGCTTGTTCAGAAACGCAAATCATTGAGAGACTTTGCATGCAGATGCCGCTATTTCGTCTCGTGGTGGTCGCACGATCAGAGCAAGTTCAGCCGGGAGGAACAGAGAGTCATCAATAGTCGGGTACGACAAGCCCGAGCGGTGCTGGCCGCCAGTGTGAACAACTATTTCATCGTCTTGTGGCTGCTGGTCTGTGTGCTGGCGCAGGTTAGCATCTTTAGAGGAGTGTCCAGGTTCATGTCGGCACAGTTCACATGGCACAACGTAATCTCTTTGGCTTTCTTCAGCGCTAGCTTCTTTGTTCCGTCGCTGCTGCGTCCCAGCACACTTGATGTGTGGTATGTTTGTGTCATGATCATAGTTACATCTCTGCTGGCACCCACGATCACTTCACCAGCTCAGAGCCTCTTGGTGGTGGTGGTCTCATCTGCCTTGGTTCGAATTCCGGCGTTGCTTGGCTGTACCCGGCCATGGTTAGTGCTTTCCTGCGAGATAGGGTTGGCTGTCGTATCTCGAATGCGGGCAACCGACGACGCAGACAACAGTTTCGAGTCCAATGCAGACGTCGGTGCGGCTCAGACCACTTTGTGGAGCTTGCTGCTCGTCTCGGCGGCGGCTTTGGCAGTGCAAAGATCTTTGCAAAACCGAGAAGCTCAGGCCCTGCTGATCAGTAACACTACAACTGAGCTGTCAGCGGCTACGTCTCTTCTCGAGCTTACTTGCGATGCGGTGGTGGAGCTGGATGGTGACTTACAGCTCACGGCTCCAGGTGCCGACATCGCTTCTATGCTGTTGAAGGATCCGAGCTTGTCGCTGCAAGGCAAGTGCTTCACAGAGTTTGTCGCGACAAGCGACGAGGCAGAGCGGGCAGAACAGCTCCTGAGGGGCTCCGACAAAGGTGTCCACACGCGGGCTTTCCACACACGGCTGGTCGACAGCTGTTCCAGCAAGTTCCGCACGGAGGTCTTCCACGTGAGCTACAGCCGACTGGGTGGACAGACTCGCCATTTGCTGGGTTTGCGCGACTTTACGGATCAAGCCTCACTTGCAGGGCGCAGAGCCGTGGACAGCACTGTGGCCCGAGGAGCATTTGAGCTTGAGCCACACCAGGGCCAAGGCAATGGGAAAGATCTGCATAGCTTGCAGAGCCGATCTGAAGCACAGGTGAACCGACTAGAAGACACTCGCCACCTCGTCTTCGTGCAGATCGACATGGACAGCTTGCAAGTTGTCACGGCATCAGTTCGCACCCCGTTCTTCGTCGGCAAGCCTTTGGACGAGATCTTTGGTGAGGCAGAGATGAACTTCTTCCAGCAGGTCTGGCAGCAGGTGCATGTTCTTGACCAGCGCAACGAGCTTGCGACCAAAGAGCTCACCGTCACGTCTTTGTACCTGCTGTGGAAGTCTCAGGAGGAGGTCTGCGTTTCTGGACGTATCGAGGTCACGAAGCAGTCTGATGGCCGGCTTGGCTTCTTGTTCTGCTTTGAAGAGCCTGATGCAGAGCGATCGGCAGCATCGACGCCCCGTTCCCAGACAAGGTCGAGATCCTCGTCTCGGTCTTCGCGGCGGAAACGCTCTAGTAGTCGCGCGAGCTCGGGACATAGAAGGCGTGCTAGTCACGTCTTACACGCTACGCTTGCATTGTAGAGGGATGCTCCGACTGAAATTTTGCACGCACGAACCAACCTCAAGCGGCACATCGGCCATTTATATTGATACTATGATCATCATCCATACTGCCACGCACGAGCCAAAAATTAATCATCATTATGGATGCTTGAAGTTATACGCTGGGCCCTTAGGATAATCCTGCACGGCCACAGCAGGGACCATTGATTTCTGAGTTTCACCTTGACCATGTCCTGGTCTGCTGCAGAGGTCTGAGACCAGACCATCAAACTGCTGACTTTTTAATCAACAGCTTCTACTTTCGAGATGTTTCGAGTGAGAGTGGGTGCCGGGCCTTCGAGTGTTCCCTAATGTCAAGCCGCCTGGAACCCCAAAGCCTAAAAGAGGGTTCAAAAAGAGAAAGAACCCCATAACCTAACATCGGCTATGTGACGGGCTTGCTCTCGCGATTGCAGCAGGTTGTAGCACGGACTTGACATCTAATCATGGCATGTCAGGTAGCGCGCTTAAATTCCGCGCTGGACGGGCAGGAACCGTCGAATTTTTGGCCCCAGACGAACCGGCTATGTCGTACTGCGTGGCTAAGAACATGAGGCAACGGGTTCTATCCGTGGACGACCGAATAACTTTTGCAGTTGAGCAGTGAAAATCGACTTGAACCAGGACTTTGCTTCCATCGACTGGATTTGCCATCTTGCTTGCCTGCCCTGCCTAGACTCTAGACCCTGGATTGTAGAGCAAAAAGGTTATCCAACACAAGGTATTAATCAGGATTCTTAGGGGGTCAGCTGAACGTCAAACATCTGCCTTACTCCCATGTGTTTCTTGGCTGCCTTGCTCCTCTCAGTTCATTGGAAGATCTGAAGCTGTCATCCCGGCCTGCGCTTTAGGGTTTATAGGGTGCGCAAACTATGGTGTGATGTGGGCTGAACCTCTTCCTGATGGCTTGGACCCGACAAAACGCCGGAACACCCTGCACAGTAGAAGGAGGTGTGACATCGTTCCATGTTGGTAACTGTCTTTTCACCCTCCGAACCCTTGCCCTGTCGAAGCTGGTGAGTGTCGAAGACCGTGTCAAACATTCGGCCCCCCTTGATTGACTCAGATATGGTTCCATATAACACGAAAGCAATACGGGCTTCGGGCTTGAATTTATCTCTTGTCATTTGGCAGTTTTTGTCTTTGCGGCTGTGAGCTTTTCGAGTGTTCCGACTTCTCGAGCCTTGAAGTTTGGCTTTTAGTCAGAGCTTTTGGAAGATACTCGTTTAGTGAGGAGCGACTACTGTTTCGTGGCATTCGGGGATCCATCTACCTGCTGTGGCGCAGACATTCTGTAGACCCCCCATCTGTCCTCAATGTGGATGTTTTGGGAGTTTGTCTCCACCTCGAAGGAGCTTCGGACCGTGGACTCGTGGAATTGGTTAGGAGTCATCCGCAACCCATGTGTTCGTCTTTACACACGACCACTAGCAACAGAGCATGCGTCGAAGAGTAGTCTCGCCACATAGTGTCTTGCCGTGCTGGCGATTGCATAGCACCCTTCACCTTTCAGCCAGCTCGGACGGCAATGGAGTTCTCTCTCGATCCCGATGGCTTAGACAGAGAGGCTTGGCTGTGCCTTGGCTTTGCTGACAGAAAAAACTGAGGCTGCTTTGAAGGCGGATAGACATCGGCAGGAGGCCGCGCCCTAAACCCAAAGACCCTGCAACATGTACGTTCGTCTCCTCTATGCGAGAGTGGGAAGGCAGGAATGAGGATGGAGCCCTTCCATCCTCGCTCGAAAGCTTTCCTCAATTTCAGCCCCCTTGAGCTGGGTGTTCCTTGGCCCTCACCAGACCACCAGCCGAGCCTTGTGAATTCCAGTTCGCTTATGCCTTGATGCTATTGATCTTTTGTATCTCTATCTGCATGGCTTTTGATGGCTCACCCCGGACGCCACTGATGCAAGCAAGCCGATGGAGTGTGATGTAACCTGCGTCTAGTACTCCGTGTGTTACTGATGGATGGTGCGTGTGTGCGTGTGTGCGTGTGTGCGTGTGCGTGCGCGTGTGCGTGTGCGCGTGTGCGCTTGTGTGCGGGTGTGCGGGCGTGCGGGTGCGCGCGACCCCGCGTGCGCGGGTGGGTGGGTGTGGGTGTGTGTGTGTGTGTTTGTTTGTTTGTTTGTGTTTGTGTTTGTGTTTGTGTTTGCGAGTGTTGAAGCAGCGGGCGCGATCAGTATTCAGTATTACGTCGGTTCGGTCGCGTTAACCAAGCCAACTTTGCTGCATACTAAACTCAAACTGCGCGGGATCAGATGAGTTTTTATTTATCTGCTGTTGGTCCACTCATGGTTTGACCCGGGCTTTCACCCCGTGCCTGCAAGAAAGTCAGATGAAGTGACGTGACGGACCACTATTGCAGGCCGGGAGCAGACGAACGTATTGTTCTGACAGGGGTCGCAACAGCTAAAAATATTATACACCTTATATTTCCTATGAAATACTTTATTATTTACCCAAAGGCCCAGTTCTAAATGACTGAGGCATTACGTAGTGTTTATCGCAGTATCTTGTGAGACCCTTGCTGACATTCGAGCCATCCTTTAGGAGTCCTCCCTGCGCTGCCCGGGCCCCACCATGAAAAGGAAGATCAGGCAAAACATTGCACAGCACACTGCAGAGTCCTCGTGAAGCTCAGGTATGCTGTGACAGCGCTTGAAGTGATGTTGCTCGGGAAGATTCTGTGGATGGCAGGGCAGAGACGCCAATCGCTGATGGCGTTTTGGCGGAGATGCCGAAGTTGCACCTCATGGTGCTCACCCGACCATAGCAAGTTCAGCCAAGAGGAAGTGAGAGTGATCAAGAGCCGGGTACGACAAGCCCGTGCTGAGCTGGCAGTCAGTGTGAACAGTTACTTGTTAGCTTGCTGGGGTTTTGCTTGCTTGACGGTTCAGGTCAATATGTCTCTAGGCTCTCCGAGATGGATGTCACCGCAGTTCAGTTGGCTTTGCGCCATTCACCTCTGCTTTTTTGGTGTTGGCTTCCTTGCTCCACACGTGCTGCGACCAGGCACGCTTGATATGTGGTATTTGTGCGTCGTGATGTTGATCGCCTTGACAATTTCGCCCATGGCTACGACGAAGGTGCAGAGCACTCAGGTGGCCATGGCCTCATTTGCAGTAGTCCGGGTGCCTGCCGTTCTGGTTTGCACAAGGCCATGGTTAGTAATCGTTTGCGAGATGAGCCTGGCGGCTATAACTCAAGTGCGGGCCTTGAATGGTGCTTATTCGGCTGAGAGCTACACCAGTTACGAGTCCTCCCAACTCAATCTCGGTCAGACCACTTTGTGGAGCTTCATGCTTGTGTGTCTGGCATCCATAGCAGTCGAGCGATCGTGGCACAGCCGGGAAGCGCAGGGTTTGCTGATTAGCAACGCGACAACGGAGCTGTCAGCGGCTACGTCTCTTCTCGAGCTTACTTGCGATGCGGTGGTGGAGCTCGATGGAGACTTACAGCTCACGGCTCCAGGTGCCGACATCGCTTCTCTGCTGTTGAAGGATCCGAGCTTGTCGCTGCAAGGCAAGTGCTTCACAGAGTTTGTCGCGACAAGCGACGAGGCAGAGCGGGCAGAACAGCTCCTGAGGGGCTCCGATCAAGGTGTCCACACGGGAGCTTTCCACACACGGCTGGTCGACAGCTGTTCCAGCAAGTTCCGCACGGAGGTCTTCCACGTGAGCTACAGCCGACTGGCTGGACAGACTCGCCATCTGCTGGGTTTGCGCGACTTTACGGATCAAGCCTCACTTGCAGGGCGCAGAGCCGTGGACAGCACTGTGGCCCGAGGAGCATTTGAGCTTGAGCCACACGAGGGCCAAGGCAATGGGAAAGATCTGCATAGCTTGCAGAGCCGATTTGAAGCACAGGTGAACCGACTAGAAGACACTCAACACCTTGTCTTCGTGCAGATCGACATGGACAGCTTGCAAGTTGTCACGGCATCAGTTCGCACCCCATTCTTTGCAGGCAAGCCTTTGGACGAGATCTTTGGTGAGGCAGAGATGAACTTCTTCCAGCAAGTTTGGCAGCAGGTGCAAGTTCTTGACCAGCGCAACGAGCTGGCGACCAAAGAACTCACCGTCACCTCTTTGTACCTGCAATGGGGGTTCAAGGAGGTCTGCGTTTCGGGGCGCATCGAGGTCACGAAGCAGTCGGATGGCCGGCTTGGCTTCTTGTTCTGCTTTGAAGAGCCTGATGTAGAGCGATCGGCAGCATCGACGCCCCGTTCCCAAACGCGGTCGAGACCTTCGTCCCGGTCTTCGCGGCGAAGCACCCCTCGTGGTCACTCAATGAGCTCGGGGCTCAAAAGGTGGCGTGCAGAGAACGCACTGTCTTTGTGAAAACTCAGCCGCGTCTCCTGCAACCCTTTTCCATGCTTTTCCGGCAGCCACTTTCCCGAATGGGCTCATGAGATTTTTGTTATTTGTGTTGTTTCACCATTGCCACATGCTAGAAGCGAGTTCAAAATGATGGACCCTTGCCAGTTGGGCAAAGATCACAACTCAGGCGTTAACCGTTGGGTCGAACATGTTCAGAGCACAGGGCCAATTGCAGCCACGCATGCGAGACAGTTGTGTAAAGCTTCCTCATAGAGTGCATGCGCCTCGGTGTGCGTCCCTCAGCATTCCGGTGCAGGTGCTTCAAGCATAGCAGTTGATGACCTCATCTCCGTTTCTTTGGCACCTGCCGCTGCCAAGCATGCGTGCCTTGGTCAGAGTGTTAAACCCGATGCCCCACGGCCCTGCAGGATGCACATTCCGTGAAAAGTTTCGGCAGGCAGTGGTGCATGGGAATCTTGAACATGTACAGTTTAGTTCCGTCCGGTGCGTTTTCGCTCGGCTTGAGCTCCAAGGAAGCATATCCGGCATTACAATGGGTGCACAATCATGCAAAGTATGGCATTCCTTTCATTTGCAGAAAGAATTTAGGGGAAGCAGGAGTTAGCAGTAGGCCCGATGGGCTATCTTGTTGTAGTTTCTCTTCCAGCACACATGTATTAAGACAGAAGGTGTAGGGCTACATATGTGTATCATTTTTACATCTGTAACATACATGTGCAGACATGAGGTCTTTATGCATCCATGTATGTCTGCCTGCCTTCCTAGGTGTTTTTTTTTTAAACGGTGTTCCTAAATTCTCCGGCTGGTACTATTTAGTATCATTTTGTTTCGTGTTTTTGCACTTCCCACTTCTCCTCTTCCTGTTCACCTAGGAAATACAAGCGAGATTATGAATACAACTGATTTCCATGAGTTTCCCACAGGTTTTTTTCTTCTCGGGTGTTCTTTGTTCCTGCTATGTTTCCTAAGTTTTTCCAGAGGTTTACTGCGTGTTCCTAGTTTTTGTCCATACGGTTCTTGTAGTTCCCCTATCTTTTTCCTGGCTGTTTTCCAGCCTTCGTTTCCTATCCGTCGCACTTCTGTTTACTGCTGTTCCCCAACTCCCTGCAGCTCCTGAAACATTGTGGTTCGTTCACTAGGTCACTGACATGCACACAAAACGCGTAGGTAGGTGTATGCGCACAGAGCAATACACATCATACTGGCATGGTGCACATTTCCACGCAGTGTGGCATGAGAACAGTCGCTTCGCTTCTGACTGGCCGGCTAGCCCCATGTTCATGCTGGCAAAGATTTTGCAACACGGACCTGTGATTCTCGGGTGCAGCCAGAGATCGTTAAGACCCTCCTGCAGTCATTTTGGCACTGCCTGTAGTAATTGTACGCATGATACGTCATCATGCCTGTGGTCGGGGTAGTGTTGGCAGTGGTGACTCGATGGTGATGTAAACAAGCGTTGTTGCAGAACTAGCTGTAGCTGTTGGTGTGAAAGTAGCCCACAGTGGAAATATCAGTTGCTCACGTTTAACGCATACACACATGCATGGACACACCAGAGTGAGAGCGAACACGCGCAGATAGCACTGTCATTTGCATGAGTGCACAGGCCTTTGCGCACACGTGTGTGTACGAAGGGGTGTACACACACAGAGAGACAGCTCTGCGTGCGTTCTGATCAGGGTGTGATTGTGTGTCTGTGAGCACGTGCTACTCGGCTGCGGTATTGTGCTGTTTAGAACTTGTTGAACCGTAGTTATTGACATGGTTAGATGCATCTACGGTGTCTCGTTAATTGCTCATGGCTTTGATTGCTTCCGTACTACTAGGTTATTGTTTTTGTCTGGCCAAGCCTGCAGAAAGCCACCTTTGCATAAAGCACGCTCAATTTTACAGCGTCGCATCTTCCATCTCTTTGCTGCTTTGTTTGAACTGTTGTATGTATGTATGTATGTATGTATGTATTGATGCATGCACATATATGCATAGAGCACCTCCGAGCAGCACATTATCATGCAGCTGAGCCTTGCTTTCCGGCGAAAGTTGCACTCACATGGCTCTGGAACCAACACCCGACATCTGACTGGGAAGCCCGCGCAAGGCGTCTCAGCAG